AAAAATTTTAATGCTTTCCCGCATCTATCGTTTTCCCGTATCCATCGTTTTATTTTCCCACCCCCGCCGAAAACGATGCATCGAGGTTTCACTGTAAATGTTTCGTTAATTTTCAGAGCTCAAGTAGTAGCCTGGGCTCAAACTGTAACCTGCTGCTAGCAAGTGACTTGTAAATAAGTTGTGGAAGCAGAAATGTGTTATTAAAAATTAGTGAGCATTTTAAAGTTCAATAATTATAGTTTAATGCAATTGTTTGATTAATTTCAGCCTTACATTAGATCCTGGGTTCAAATTATCACTGGATACTAGCACAGAACTGTAAATAGTAGCCAGAGCTACAAATCAGATGCTTACAGTATGTTTTAAAAGGTACTGCAGTATCTGCTGCTGTTAGATTTGAGGTTCTCAAGGTGGTCAAAATGTTGACTATTCTGGCTGCCAAGATTATTTAGCACCAAATGAGGAACAATGTAAAAGAATATGGGGGTATTCTGTTTCCCTATACAATAGAAATTACCTGGGGATACTGAAAAAATGAAACAAATCTCAGACAAGATAGCTTAACCCTGGCTGGAACCTTGAATGTGAATTAGGAAGGAGCAGGAAAGGAAAGAATTACTACATGTTTGTATCAGGATTAAACAAAACTGAAATCAATTAGTAATTGACCTTCACCTCCAGCCACTCCTTCTCTGGCCTGCACTCACTTGTCAGACACCATGTCACTGTTCTGCCAGTCTACTGAATCTTAGCAGTGTTAAAAATCCAAAGAACCAATAATTATTTCAATATTCTTCAAATTTTCAACTACCAGAAATCTGATAGCTAAATACTGGGTTATGACCTTGCGTTGGGTGTCACATATATTATGGCCAGGCTCACTCCTTTGCAAGTTGGAGTAGAACTTGTTTTGCTGCAGTGCACCAAGTATGGAGTTCAAATATTTTTGGTCGATAAATAGTATGTTTGTTTTTTGGACAGAGTGCCTCTTTTATTAATTTAATTGTTTTTATTGCAGGTGCAAGTGGTAGTGATGATGAGCAAGCCCAGTCAAAGAGTTCGGGATCCCGCAGCTCATCCCCTGGCAGTCAGAAGTCTCGATCGCGGTCCAGATCCAGATCCAAGTCTCAGTCACATTCTCGATCTCCCTCGGGAAGTCCCAATAAGAGTGCCAGTGGCAGTGGCAGTGGTAGCAGTAGTGCAAGTGGCAGTGAGAGTGACAGTGGTGAGGGTGAGAAGTGAGTTAGTCAGAGAGAGAATAAATGTTTTTAAAATAAGCACAGTTGAACTGTCTCTATAAAATGTTAATCTTTTTGTAAAATACCAACAAACAGTCATAAAAATGAATGTCTTTTCTCTAACTTTTTTGCTTCAGAACTTGTAATAATGCCGGCTATACTAGCAGTCAGTTTCCAGAGAACTCGCATTATTCTGAATTCAGGCTTCACAGTCATGTTTATGCAGCAGGCTTTTATCCTAGAAGAGGAGGGCATTTGTTGACAATATGTAGAAACTTTTGCCTACATTAAATCTGTAGTGTAGCTTCCCAGTGTTATGTTGATTCTTGGTTTTTCTTGTATGCCACTTTTTTATTTACATTGGGAGGAGATAATATGATCCCCAGTGCAATGATATAAAAGCACATAATTGAATTTGTCGATGGCCACAATGGACCGAAACTTGTTCTAGTGAATGAAATGTGAACTGCGTGTGTGAAAAATGACATACAAGAAAAACCAAGAATTCACATTAAACATAATTTTTCCCATGAAATGTAACAAGATATGGCTTTCTCTTTAGATTGTACCAATTTATATTGTTAAACAATAGTTGTGGCTTCTTTCTTACGCAAAGAGAAACCTTTTAAAATGTATTTACACGGCAAAGGAATTTTGTACTAACAACAATTATGCAGAAAACAGTAGTCATGTTATGGCAATCAAAAATATTAACAGTGCTAGTGAGAAACAGCCAGTCACAGAATACCTCATTATCCCTGAAACAGTTAAACTTGTCTATTATTATTCTTCTATGGCTCTCCGGTCTGTATTCGGTCCATGGCCTCCTCAATTCTCCTCTTCCATTCAGTCCTCTGTTAGGTCCGTCTGTCCGAGGCTTTGATTTAGGTTTCGAAACATCTTCCTTTTTAAGGTGCAAGGTTGTTAGCCTTGTTTGTCTATACCATACATTATAATAACATTTCTTAAAAACAGCTCTTCCTACAAATAATAGCAGAATGATATACAATGGTTTTTATCTGAAACACTTTTCTTATGGTGAATATGTTCAAAATAAGTATATTCCATATTTTCTGACAATCCCATTAATTACCACATTTCATCAGAAGAAAGACTGAAGACTGGTATGGAGTGGCAAAAGGGTTTTCATGTTATGACCTTATAAAACTTCAGTTTATCCTTTTACATGGTAAAACTCTGTCTTATTAGACAGCTTCCTTTGATGTGTGGCATAAAGTTTTACTTTCATGGACATTATTGAACAAGATACAAGAGAAACTATGGAACTCTTCGGCACACTATTAGACTTGCCACTGATTGTTGACAGCCACAGAGTAACAAAGTGGCAAAAGAATAACAAGAGGGAAGAGAAATGACTAGTGAGTACAGCAGGAAAATCAAAAGCTTTAAAAAAAGGATAGGGCAGGAACATTTTCCCTTTAGAAAATAATGTAATTTTTCTGAAGAATGTGCAGAATGTTAATGTTGGTCTTCTGGGTTGCAATGAACTATCCATCACAGACTTGCCAGGACTGAATGGTTCTTCATATGAAACTTAACAAGATCGAGGAAGTCAACCAAAGCTTTATTCACCGAATGACTGTACGTTCTCATCATTAATCTTGGAATGCTTCAATACTGAGCACCAAACGTAGAGGTATGAAAAATTCTTCTGCAGAAGTTTAGTATGAATTAAAAATTTGTTTGGGGATGGAAGATCATGGCAGTTAATGTTTTAATCAGAAGATGAAAGATGACGTAAAACAGTACCTGGAAGCAAAGAATTGCAAAGCCAACGTCCTATGCAACAGTGCACATTTCTGTACAAGATATGTGAATACATTAACAAATCTTAGACATCTTACCAAAATAAATATAAAAATCCATAATTGTAGGACGGGAAAATGTGCTTAACATCTGAATGAGGGCAATGTTTAAGTAATATTAATTAATTCTAAAAAGGCTAATATTAAAGGCCAAGGCCAATAAGGATTCTAAGTGTCCTGAACTGCCACTGATCAAGATATCTATCCTTCAGAATTTACAAGAGTTACAGAAAGATATTCATAAATGTCTATTTAGGAATCTCATTTTGATAACTGTAATATTTTCAAATTTCTATAACTTTGGAATATCTAAAGCATAATGAGCAAATCACATTAATTAGGAAAAACTGTTTTCTATTATTTTAATTAATGCAAATATATTTGGTGTGACATGACCTCCTCAAAAAGGACAGTTTCATAGAGGGAATAGTTAGTTAATAAATAAGAAATTTCTGTTATAGTAATTCAGTTTTGTTCTTGGTATTCCTTTATAAGTCATAATTTGGTGAGAAAATTAAAAATCTGCACCTGAAAATTGTTTAAGTTAGGAAATAATAATTTAAAAAACATTTTCCAAACTGTCAATTATCACTATTGTTCTTCATAAAAGGTACTGTATGTATGTGGCAAAATCACAGATCTTTCTATTCTAACTGAACGATGTTCAAAATCAGCCTTGGATATACGTTACTTAATAAATGTGTGTACGTATATATGTTGCACACTCGTTAAAGCAAGTGTTTCAGAAGTTGTTAGCTCGTGTACTATGCATGCAACTTACAACTACAGCAGGAAAATCTTTTAGTTTAGAAGGCAGTAAGATGGCCGTCTCTTGGATTATAGCACCGTGCAGTCTGGTAGAACTTTACCAACTTCATGATAATAGGGGCAGCAAGGACCTCTGAAATGTTGGTAAACCCAGAAGACAGCTATCTTTCTTTCATAAGTGGTTCGAATTACTATATAATTTAATTAAGATTTGAAGTTTTCACAGCGGTGAGTATGAAGATTTCTGTCTTCTGGGTTGTTGCGCTGTGTAGTATAGTCGATTCATCGCCCTGATGATGGAGGCAGTATGACCTCTGAAACGTTGGTTAACATCGACCAGACTACACAGCGCAACAACCCAGAAGACAGAAAGCTTCATACTAAGAATCGCCCTGATGACAGAGGCAGTATGACCTCTGAAACGTTGGTTAACATCGACCAGACTACACAGCGCAACAACCCAGAAGACAGAAAGCTTCATACTAAGAATCGCCCTGATGACAGAGGCAGTATGACCTCTGAAACGTTGGTTAACATCGACCAGACTACACAGCGCAACAACCCAGAAGACAGAAATCTTCATAATTTAATTATTCTGTCACAGTACAAAGCCTAAAATAGTCAACTACAAATCATAATGAAGGAAATGTGATATTTATTTGGTCACTTTCAACTAACAAGAACCATGGCATTCAAATGTTCTCTGCTATCTGTCTTGGGTGTGGTGATGTTTCTTGCTTTTCTTACTGCATTTTTTATACTTCAGTTTACCTTCATCTGCATGGGGCTTCATAACAACATCTTCAATATTACTGTGTGATGAAGTAATCTGTGGGACTCGTACCACTGTACTCAGTACTGAAGTCATGGGTGTGTAGTCTCTGTAAGACTCATCATCATCATCATCATCATCATATGAGTTTGCATTATCTTCTGTTGTAGTTACCACTGGAGCATGAGAAAGAGTACCCTCCTCAGGAAATGCTGCAGTTTTATTTTGATTAATATTCCCTCGTTTACCTTTTTCCTTAGAATTAGTATTTGAAGGATGATGCATTTTATTCTTCTTCTTTTCTGAATCATCATCTGATGAATAAGATGATGAATCACTTGAAGTTGATGAATCAGAGGAGTTACTGCTTGAAGAAGTGGAACTAGAAGTGCTGCTGGAATCACTTGAGTCACTAATGTCTGAAGAAGAGCTGGAATCATCACTGTCACTGCTAGTGCTGCTGCTGCTACTGCTGCTGATGTCACTTGAGTCATCTGAGCTGCTTGAGTTAGACTTCTTTTTCTTTTTCTTCTTGGTCTCAGACATTGCCTTCACCTGCTGTTGTTGCCTGAAACACAGAGTAATCTTCTAACATTTATGTAATAAATAGAAAATTACCAGTCAAAAATGATGGAAGTATCTAAATTCACACTTTATAGAACACATTTTTATTGAAAAATCTAACAGTTCCCAATCAACTAATCACACACGGACAGCACATAGACCCCATACCATGATTTTCTTGAAGATGGCTGTCTTATGGGTTTTAGCATTGTGTAGTCTAGTAGAAGTTTGCTGATGTTTCAGAGGTGCTTGCTGCCTACATCAACGAGTACCTCTGAAATGTCGGTAACTTCTACCGGACTACATGGAGCTACAAACCAGAAGACAATCATCTTCGTATTCATTGTCTTAAGAACCTCAAATCCCACTTCATGGTTATCTTGTTTCTTACATGATATGATAATAGTAACTGGAAATAGTAATTAAAAAAAAGTTCACCAACCAACCAACCATCGATGATGCTAATAACTGCCAACTTACTTCCATATTCTGCGTGAACATCAAATAAGTCTAGTAGTCGTTTCGCATTAACAGAGAATTTAAAATAAAAGACGGAAAAGATGCTGATCGCGAAGACTTACAACGGAAACTTTCAAAACAAAATTCGTAACAATAATTACTGGTAGCTCGGCCAGGAATAGGAAGTTATCGTATATAGAAAAATGATTATACAAAAATAATACTCCTTCCTGCGTACGAATCTTTCTGTTCGATATACTAGCTCTGAGACCCATCCAATGGACAGGGAGGGCTTTCTTCACAGTGGTAAAACGTATTCGGGCGGGGCTCTTACTCAAGCACAAGGATAACTTTAACATTCCTGCGGAAGAAATGTGTGTGAAAATTCTGACCTTGCCGTCGCAAGATTTATTACTTAGCGCTTCGAGCGTATGAAAAAGCTTTGCGCCTTCAGAAGTGTCAGTATACTTCACGCCAATCAGCAGTGTCAGAAAAGAGGCCGCACTACATGGAAAACCGCACAAAACGAGAAGAAATATCAGTTTTGTTTCTTTGTGGTTTATTTAACGACAATGACAGGAGCTCAGACGAAAGCGTTGAATGATAGGATGATTAATGAATGGTGAATCGGAAAGGATGTAAAGAAGCGGTCGTGATCTAGTTTGAGGGATTATCCAGGCTTTTTCGTGGACGGACTGAAGAAAACCACAAAAACTTGTATTAGGATAGCCTGTTTACGGGGCCAACATTTGAACCCGTGACCTTCCAGTACAAAGCACATGTGCTAAATACTGGCAACGACCTCTGCCATAAATTGTTTTTGCAAGGAAGAAAGTCATTACCGGCACAAAATTCGGTATATCGATGTTCATATTTATATGGTTGTATTACTTAAGGTATTGCTTCTTAAGCGCAAAGTGCCTTAAATACAGTAATTTTATTGCGTATTTCAAGCGGACGCAAAACAAAATCTAAGCTAGCGTTTCTTGCAAAACTCACCGACTGACTGACACTTAAAAGCAAGTTAACTAACTCACTGCTATTGTGGAGCCCATTAGTTTGATAATCAACCACTTAGCCCATCACAACAGGCCAGTTCAACCAAATTCAAACACCTAATACTTATTTCCTTAATACTAGATTTTAATAATGCCTCAGCACTATTTTTAAACTCGCTTGACGCTATCCAGAGCTAAGGAATCCAGTCTACACCTTCACACACCATTTATTTCAATTTTACCATTATCCTCCCATACTCTGTATTTCATATCCACAAGACAACATACTCTATTCTTAATGCTGAGTCCACCGAAACATCAACGAAGTAAGATTTATGATACATAAAAATGGTAGACACAGACGTTCAGCAAACGCATTACAATGGTTTTAAAAAGTGCCACAAAGTAACGATATAAGTATTGTATAATATAACAGTGCATGGAGTACAGCTGGATCTGACACTACAATGATGATAAAAGGGCAAGATTTTCATCAGAAAAGCAGTTATATAGTAATACAGAAAAAAGTTCACAGGTTTTAAAATGAAACAGCTTGTCGTACGGAGCAGTCGGGATTTGGTTTGTACTGGTTTTCATGTTCTTTCCTTTTTCTGGGTCCCTACACCTCCCAATAGTTCAGGTTTTCTGACAAAATCTAAGCAAGCGTTTCTTATCTCCCCCATATGAAGTTTCCCATTCGCCATTTTATTTTATACACTTCGTAAATAAATCAGCAAAGCAAGATAAAATACAATTAGTAGAAAATAAAATCACTTCGAACAAAGCAGAGTGGAGGTTGCAGCTAGTTTTTTGAACATCCACTATAAATCAGCAGGCCCACATCAGGTACGAACTGAAAACACAGGGCATTAACTAATCACTGTAAACAGTAAATACTCTACAGTAGGTTATAAATGATAAATATTAGTCCCACATGGCACCATCCTCGCTCTCAACATTAATAATTTCACGCCTCTAATGAATAATGACTTGCTACAGTCGGGCGGCGAAAAAATAAAACACTCAAATCTCAAAACTAGTAAAAAGTTTGAATTCCACTCTGACGCCACATGAAGCCCCGATTTTTCACCAACACAAAATAACACTGAACACAGGAAACGTCATTCTGGCATTGCTGGGTGTCATAAATCACTGATGTGAGGTCGTCGTGGCGCGTTTAAATATGAAGCGTCTCACTGGGAAGGACTCTGTCTTGAATCCAGCGTTAAGAATAATGTATGCTGTATTATGCAAGTTTTATTTCCAATGGCGCCAAACGTACTAAGTCAGTTTTTCCCGTTTCCATATTCTTACACTGCGATGTAATGTAGTTACGTTTCAAGATAGAAATTAAAGAAAGAGATTTATAGTTTATTCATGCGGACAAAAGTTTTATTATAATTTCTTGAGTGATTATAATGACAACGAAGATGATAAAAATAGCTAATGATAAATTCGGAGGGCGTATAAGTGGTTAAATACTTATAATAAAAGAACGACGAGATGTTCTGAATGCGTTTAACAATATCCATCCCAAGAAAAACAAAATTAAGTTATATTTAGAACGAAGTTGCTGAACCCACAAGCATTTCTAGAGTTTCAGTTTGAATGGAAGAGTAATGTTTCTGTAACAAAATGTCCAACCAAGTTAGTGTTTGCATTTCCTCGCCAGTGGTGGACGATGACATTAGACAGGTCTTTTTCGTAAAGTGATGATGTATTATTTGTGCGCTAAACTTTGATATCTAATGCACATAGGAAGCCTAACAACATTTAGACAGACCCTACCGTAAAAGAAGTTACTTTTAAATCAGCGCCAACACCATAATTAACTGCACACATATAAAACCAAATAATATGACACTGACGTAAATTCCGCGGATCTGTTTATTAGTTTTAATTTAAAGTTGCAAAGATTAAAATAAAGGGATGGCTCAAGTTAAGGCTGACTAATCTATGATGTCATTACCGTGATGTGACATATAATATACCTCCAACACAATTAATAGTTAGCTTGTGACCGCACCGACGTATCGCCGTCTGACGCTCAAATGGCGATTTGACAACAGCCCCCCGAAATGCAACCAGCAGCGCCAGATACAGAAGGGAGGGATTAGGGATCTTGAAATCTCGGCGCAACTGTAGTCTCCATACATGGAAGTCGTTTCCATCCGCAAACTTCGAGCGAGTAAGGAATGCCCTGGTTACAAGATCATAACAACGAAGAATGCTCATTATGTTCGTATAGATTATACCCAGAGACGTGTTTATCGGTAGGTACAAATGTGTTTGGAATGTCAGATCCAGAGATCAGCATACTTCGGATGCATATGCAATCTAATTACATTCCTTCTGTTGTCATACCTAAACTATTACGGCGTGCAATAACAGGATCATGTGGAACACGGGCCCACACTAATTTCTTTTAATATTGTCACATTCCGTGTGACGAAAAACAGTTACCTGTATCCGAAAGCACGCTTTAATAATGCCACCAGTATCTAGCAGCACCGATCCTGTAAATAACTATTCAGCTTAATGACAAATGTCAAATAACCTAGGATCGTCTTACTGATGAATACTTGCAAACAGCAACAGATATTAAGTATGACACTGAAAGACAGATCAAGCAAAAGCAGTCACGTGCCTCACCAATGGCTGAATTTCCTAACGAAAATTGAGAAAAAAGTGAACCTGTCAGGAACAGTAGGCATAATTTAATAACATAAATAATAACTTACCACGGGGTATGAATAAACTGTACTCATCCTTGTGGCCCGCGAGTCGGTAAGAAAGACGATTGAGGCCCCAGGTCTGGAAAAGGTTGATAACCCCTGGTGTAGAGTATCTACAACCTTCGCCGTTGAATAATTGGTGTATGACCAATACTGATAATAAATTAGTCCGTCTTCAGACTAACAAGCGTATTTACGTACATAACTAAACTAATTATTTCTCACATGGAACAGGATAAAAGGTCGAATCCGTAAAGGCCAAAGAAGAATAAGAAGAACCCAAAATAACAGACTACTGTGGGTAGCAGGACCTGAAGATCATCAATGAAAACAAAAAGCCCTTAGCCAGTATCATCCATCTATCATCCTTACAACCTATTCCTTAAGACTCCGTCTTAAATGATACA